ATGTGTTTTCTTTGCCTTCTACAAGGAGATGATGGCAGAAAAATTCTGCATGTCTTTCTGAGGCGTCTTGAGGAATTGTAGCTACCTTTGTTTTACAATATAGCTATGCAGCCCTCACACACTGCCCACTGTTAAAGCACTTTTGGGGGACCATATTGTCTATTTATTCTCTATATATGCAAAATTATAATCACATTTCACGTGTCTGGACAGTACCTCAGTGAATGCTTAACGATAATAGTAGCCTATAAGCATGAAGCAGTGTGATCCACAGCCATGTCATATCCGGCTCAGGGCGAGCTGGTCCTCAGCTAGCCATGCAGACATACATTAACAGATCAATCTCTCAAAGGGCTGGCAAGCCTCACAATGGACATGTGACTGTCTTGCGACATATGGCCCATATTAGTTCCACACACCCACACACAAGTAGTGTGGGGTGAATCCCTTGATCCAATCAGATGTGATCAGAGTGGGTTGCTATAGAGACAGAATCCCATTACTGAGCTAGTAAGCAGATGTTTAGGCCAACCTATCCAGGGTGCTATGTCTGTTTTGCAAAGGCTTGTTCAGTAGAGCCTACCTGGCTCTGCTTACACCTTGGGAAACATCTCTATGTGACTCTGACTTTTAAACCATTGCACTACAGGCCTGCAGCTGGCAGGCACATTGCTCTCAGAAAACTTGCAAAGAGGAAATGGTAACTGTTGATGTTTTTGATCTTCAGGGCTTCACCCCCTACAGCAAAAGTTCAGGTTTTTTCAAGGTCTGAAATTCTTACCACAAAGTTACAGTTTCAGTCTGCCTCACTTATGTATTTTCATAGAACTTCATTAGTAGTAGATAGTTGTAGTAAATAAAAAAGTCAGTATCCTTCCCCACCCCCTAGATCACAGAGCTCTTGGATGACGACAAGTTGGAGCCATGTGAAGAGCTACCACCAGATGGTGTGGAGAGCCTCCCAGCAGATGAAGTCCGGCTCTCCCAAGTCACCCCATCCTCCAGGTAAACTTTACTGGCTAACCTTCCTCCCATCTTTGTGAAGGACATTCACACTGTATGCTGTTACACATTTAAAGCAATCAGGGCATGTGTTGTTTTTCGTACTATTATCCCCAGACTAATCGGAAACAGATAGAACTGACCAGTTTGTAACTTTAAGTCTTAACTAAGTGGTGCAATGGAAAAAAAAACCGTTATACACAAGGATCTTCAAGACCAGTACAGAGCAGCACTCCAGGGCTTTAGGGTTGCACTGTGAGATATCCAGCAACCCCAGTCCAGGTTTACATGGGTGAAATAATGACCCTGCATTGTTTTCATTGCGTATGCTTTTAAGTCGAGGTACAGAAGTAACAACCAGATTGTGGTGGCCTGCCGCTTATGTAGCTTATGGGCTGCAGTACTGCCCTGCTTCTGTTACTAGAAAGAACTGTATAGTTCATCCCTGTGACCTGTTTCTCCATTAATTCAAGATGATTTAATAAATTAGTCCCTAATTCACAAATTGGTCAGACTTGTGCACCTGGGATGGGTTGCTAATGCTCTTTGTTCTCAGCTGATGAAGCAAATGCACTGATGTTTGTGCTATCACATGGGCGGAGCCTTCCTGAGCAAGTACATTGTCTGTGGCAGCCTTGTCAAGGTGGTCTTCAGTCTTTGTTGTTGTGAGCAGGAAATCACTTGAGCCCCCGCCCCCAGAAGAGGAAGTACTGTTCCCATGGAGCTGTCATGATATCATTGAGGTGGTGACCACAGTTGGCTATATTTTATGATCTTGACATGGTGGCATTTTTGGTGCCAGTCTGAATGGTGTTAACTATGTCAGAGTGAATCTGATGACCAGTGCATGTTGACTTAATCTTCACATGCTTGTGTTACAACAGTAACCTTCAGCAGACATCAAAAGAAACCGAAATCCAGCCTCCACCATTTTCCACTTTCCATTCAGAAAAACCCACATGAAACCTGCCAAAACTTTTAAAGGCTACAAAATCACCTTAAGAATGAGCCTTGCAGATCCTGTCCCCCACTTGTTGATTTTGACTTCTTATATTGTTTCTTAAACAGCTAATGAGAGAGACTTCAGTTTCTTTGGTGTTTCATATATCTTAAAATGAGCCACTGTGCAGCCCTTAGACTAAGTGGGTGCCATCATTGGTTCTCCTGTAGGGTTCTCTGCTTTGTGTGTGCATGGTCTTCCCATATCTGGTTTCCTTTGGATGTTCTAAGTCGTTTAGTTAGGGTAATTGGTATAGTGGAGCAAATGCCTCCACAATGCGATTTTAGCTTGTGGGGACATTTTTCGCGCACTCTGTGATGGACTGGCATCCTATCCAGGGGCGTTTTTCCACCGCACCAGGTACCGTACTTTCGGTACTTCCATAAAGTGCCGAAAGTTTGGTACTTCTTTCATGTCGGTTTTCCACTGGCATAAAAAATGGTACAGGCGCCAAATGACATCATCAGTGACCGCCCCTGACTGACAGCCCAAAATTAAAACTAACAGTTGAGGCTGGAAAATGCGGTTTATTGTTATGTCAGCTTCTATCACAGTATAAGATTCAGTAAAATCCAAATCATGCTGCCATCAATTACGTTTACGTAGATACACTTACTTTGGCTAAGCCGATCAAAGCAGTAAGAATTAGCTTACTGCTAATTCAGTCTTTTGAAAGCAAACAAATTTTTTAATTATGTTTCAAGCGGCATTGTTCGGTGTTTCGCGTGTGCCCTATTTCTTCCAAGTGGCTTGGTATTACGGTGTTCCGGGCAATTCAGTTATCCTATGTTTCTCCTGTCTATCAGGAAATAATGTTTACCCCAGTATTAAAGCAAAGAGTTATGTGAAATTTCTGAAAATCACTCAGGTACATTATTACATGTGAATACAGTAGATCGTCACGTATAATATAGTCTTATAAGCAATACTATACCGTTTTCATCAAGAAATATCTCTCGAGCGAATTAAGTAATTTCATTTATTATCTGTAAAAACAGAAAACATAGAAAAGACATGTGATTTTTTAAAATTAATATATGGCTTGTTTACCTCGTAAAAAGACATGAAAACAACAGCGAAACCGTGTACAAATCAACGCGCGACAGGGGAAACATAGGAAAACTGAATTTCCCCGAACGGCAAAAACTTTTTTATTTCGAGTCGTGCCATCCAAATCCCACTGGATCTGTTCATCCGACCATATGGCGATTAAAACCATCCTTCCTTCTGTTTATATTTTTGTTTCTACTGCTTTTTATTTTGTTTCTCGCTGTGATCGCCCTGTTCGCTGTATGTTTCAAAAATGGCGGTTGTATTTTGTGTTTCAGCGGCAGGATATTTGCATAACCAATCGACAGCAAATATGTTTGCAAGTCCCACCCCAAAGTACCGAAGTACCAAAGAAGTACCCCAACTAGTATGGCACTTTCGGTACTTTAAACTTTCGGTACTGGTACTCGACCAGAAGTCAATAGAAAAGCGAAAGTACCATACTTTGTGCGGTGGAAAAGCGCCGCAGGTGTACCAAAACCTTGTGCCCTGTCCTATCTGGACTGATAAGTGTTGGTAAATGCATCTTCTGTTTTTATAGTCCTCAGATTTTATGTATCAGTAAGACTCTGCCGTGTCTGAGCGTCTGTTGCTTTTATGGTAAAACTGTGGAATTGCTTTTGCTAATTTCAGGGTAACTCTTTCTGGAATTGGAGGTGTAGGCCTGAGAAGTGGTGTGGGTCTGTTGTGTTGAGTAATGCCAGCTCAGACCCCTGAGGTCGTCAATGTGTCTGTGTGTCTGTGTGTTCGATCTGGTGTATTTTTATCTTTTCACATTTTTATCATGTTCCCAGCATGGGCTGCAGTTCAGCTTTGAACATATTATTGCTCAGATTATTCCGGTCTGTTTCCAAACAGCTTTTTAGTAACTCCCCTATTTGATAAAATGGAGGGGGAATAATTAGTGCTGATAAAATTATTGCTATTGATGTTAATGATAATAATTATTTGTTGTTTGAATATTCTACTAAACTGTATTCAATATTGTAGTAGTACAATATAAAATATTGATATTCTGTTTTAGGGTTGTAATTAAAGGAAACAGTTAATCTCTGCAGTTCATATTGCTGTGAGGAACTTGTGCATTGAAGTACATTATATGGACAGACGTATTGGTACACACTTCTTAATCATTGAATTCAGGTGTTTCAGAACAATTACATTAGGGGTGCATGAAATCAAGCACCTAGCCATGCAGTCAGGTTTACAAACATTTGTGAAAGAATGGGTCATTCTGAAGAGCTCAGTGAATTCAAGCGTGGTACCATCATAGGATGTCACCTCTGCAGTAAGTCAGTTTGTGAATTTTTTTCCCTGGTAGATATTTCACGGTATTATCATGGTATTATTGCAAAGTGGAAGCATTCAGGAACAACAGAAACTCAGTCATGAAGTGGCAGACCATACAAAGTAACAGTGCGTAAAAATCGGCAGCACCCTGTTGACTCAATAACCGCGGAGTTCACAACTTCCTCTGGCATTAACCCTAGCACAAAAACTGTGTACCAGGAGCTTCATGGTATGGACTTCCATGGCCGAGCAGCTGCATGCAAGCCTCACATCAGCAAGCACAATGCCAAGCGTCGGATGGAGTGGTGTAAGCACAGCACCACTGGACTCTGTTCTGTTGGGTGATGAGTCATACTTCTGTCTGGCAGTCTGATGGGCGAGTCTGGCTTTTGGCAGATACCAGGAGAATGTTACCTGCCTGAGTGCATTGTGCCAGCTGTATAGTTTGGTGGAGGAGGGAGGAGGGTTGTTTTGCAGGGGTTGGGCTGGGCCCCTTAGTTCCAGTAAAAGGAATTCTTAATGCTTCAGCATACCAAGATATTTTGGACAATTCTATGCTTCCAACTTTGTGGGAACAGTTTTCTGTACCAGCATGACTGTGCCCCAGTGCATAAAGCAAGGTCCATAAAGACATGGTTGGGTGAGTTGGGTGACTTCAACGCCACTGAACACCTTTGACATGAATTAGAACAGAGATTGCAATCCGAGCATTTACGTCAAACATCAGTCCCTGATCTCATAAATGCTCTTCTGGATGAATGGGCAAACATTCTCACAGACAAACTCGAAAATCTTGTGGTAAGCCTTCCCAGAAGAGTGGGAGCTTTTGTAGCTGCAGAGGAGGGACCAGCTCCATTTTGCTTTTCTGGGGGTTGCGATGTGATAGATAGGAGTTTGGGGGGGCGTCACCAACCCCAGTCCTAAATATAAGACCCCATTGCAGCTGACCCATCAACAGCTGTAGAAAATAGCGTCATGTGCCATGCGACTTGTTTGTGCAACACTGGCCGTCAGCTGGGAGCCCAGACCAGGACTTGCTGACCTGGGTGAGGCACTGTGGGGCCAGCAGATTACAAGATGCATGGCAGATGGGTTGGGGCACCTGTCGATTTGTGTTTGTGTAAGAGTCTGTGTGTGACTGTTTGTGTCCGTTACTGCATATTCGTTAGCGTAGACTGGTCTGATTTTGCAGGCACACTTTTGCTGTTGCACGTGGAGGAGTCTGAACAAACGGCATGCGGTTGGCTCTATGAGTTCTGCATGCCGTCTGTGGCCTTCAGAGTAAACAGCCTTATATTTAGAAGTGCCAGTAATCTGCATCAACTGTTCTGAAGTAGTCTGCCTGGTTCGCTTTGTCAGCTGTGCTGATCTCAAGGCCAAATCACATATTGTCAGGCATGACAGATTTCACCCCATTGCTGATAAGATGATGTGGTTTTGGAATAAGTGCTTTCTGATAATGGGCCTTGCCTACAGTGCACAATACATATCTAATTTCTTTTTAAAAACGAGAACTGTAAAACATGGTTTATCTCTAATGTAAGTGCCATGGATGTGGAAGTGTTCAAAACAGGCATCTTCGGATGGGTGGAGAGTCAGAGAAAGGCCAGGACTCTTCTTATAAATGTGTCCTCCCTGGACCTCTGTTTGTCCCACATGGCCTGACACCTCTGAAGCTGCAGAAATGGCTCTGCAGGTTTGCTCTGAGCCTGTCCCAGCAGCCAGGATTTAGAATCGAGTTACAGCTGCCTGCTGCTCTCGTCTGTGAATGGCACAGACGTTACATAAATGAAGGTTTTGGCATGGTGGAAGGGGCACAGGGAAAGGAGGGGGTGTGGGACTCTGAGGATGCCCACCCCCAGAGCGCTGCCATTGGCCGCCTGTGTAGTTGCGTCAGACGGACCTGTATTTGAGCCATGGTGCAGACGGTTCACTGCAGCACTTTGCAGTAGCGAGAGTGGAGCAGAGCACGCAGCCAGCAGACACGGGGCTTCACAACATGCACCCGGGTGGCCTCTCCCTACCCTCACACCTGCTCGTCCAGACACTGGCACCGCAGAGCGCTCAGTCCGGATAACTAGACCTCCCAGAGTGGCAGGGTTCATCACCATGGCCTGTGAAGTTTTACTGTGCAGGTAAAGCCATGAGGACAGGATGGTGTGTGTGTGTGTGAGAGAGAGATTCTCTGGGGTTTCTGTGAGAGTTCATGTGTTTTTGTTGGTATTCTGAGGCATGCTTTCACTGCCTAACTGATGGGTGTATATTTGACTGCTGCTGAGCATTGTGGCCAGCCTGATATAGGACTGTCCTCTGTCTGTCTGCTCTCAGTAGTGCAGTAGTTAATTGTAAGGAGAAGGAGCCAGATATGACTGGCACTCTTATCCCAGTGCAGCCGCCTATCATCTTACATGTTTAAATAAACTACCAGGAGATGCGCTGCACACATTTATTTAATGAGAACGATAGGATGACAGCAGGACTGTACAGCAATTTAAAACTGATTTTCTGTTCATTTTAATCACACATTGGCTTATACGGATGTCTCTGAGACATCTGTCTGGGTGGGGACCTGGGCTGACTCTGGTCCAGGCCCAGGTTTGGGTCCAGGTCAAGGTCAGGTTGAACTGCCAGCTGACTGTTATCATACAGGGTTTGAGTGCAGGAACCACAACGGATCCTGTGACCCCTGGCGAGTATAACCAGTACCTGGGCCCCACTCTGGCTCTGGTTTTGCCACCTTACAGTGTGTGCCCTCAGTTAGCTCGATGAGCTGTCCACAGCCCAGAGCACAGCCTGTTCTGCCTGATATGTTCATTAGAGTGTGGGCACTGGTCATCGGCAGAGCTCCAGAGATAAGAGTTTATAGCCAAACTGCCAGAAAGGCAGGGGTGTCTTTTAAGCTCTGTATGTAATGTGCGTTTGACCAAGCTTCCTATGTATGAGTGGCTGAAGATTATTTAATATTACATTTATCTTAAAGTCACGCTCGTCTTCCATGGGCTGTGCTGGGTATCTCTGTTCTGCTGAGACATGAGTGAGCAGGCTGTGAACAGGCTTTGGTGCCCTTGGACTGGGCCAGTGGTGCCTTGTTTTGCCAGATGACGCAGTGCTGGGTGAAATGGACCAGATACCAGAGGCTCCAGCACCCAGCCCATCCACAGCTTCGTAGTGTATCTGTCACCCTAGTGTTAGCCTCCCTGCTGTGGTTTACGTCACACATTAAGGTCTGTTGCCATCTGCAGTTCATGTAGTTACCTAACACCACGCTAGCAGTGGCGAGCCCCCAAGCTCAGTTCTTATCCAACGTTAAGTAGGGGGATTTCCGATGTACCACTGGTAGTTTATAAAGCATGTGGGACTGGTGAGTCATGTGACCTCACTTCCTGTCAGTTATCGTGCTGATCTTGGGCACATGCTCCCCCCCCCCCGTTGCTGCTAACACTGGCACTTCTCTCCCCCCTTCCCAGCTCGCACATCAGTCCCATCAGCATCCTGCCGGGATCTGCAGAGTAAGTGAAACCGCTCACTCCCTTAGCCCAAGAACATAGCCAATGGGGGTTGGGGGTTGGGGTTTGGGATAGGTGAGCTCCATCCTGACAAGCTGTCCTGGTGCTCTCTGCGCAGGATTTTACAAAGGACTATCCGTGCTGCGGTACAACAGCACCTCCTGGACCTGAAGAGCTCCATCGGTCAGGAGATCAGCAGCTATGAGGGCCAGGGCTTGTCCAGCCAGCTGTGCCACGGGTATGAGAGACTGTTCTGCACGGATCAGACATGAGCACACGATCACAAACATGCCCAGTTTTAGTCTGTTGTCACAGTTAGGTCATGTATGTAAATAATATGTGGTGCATGCACACCTGTATAGAGGGCGGGGCTTCCCTTAACTATTTTGTGTTCTCAGGGAGGAACACCCAGCAGAGCCAGCAACAGAGTCAGCAGAGGGCAGTGGTGAGCTGGTCACATTGTGTGCTACCCAAGTGACACCAGTGGGGGAGCATCAGGTAGGTGTGTCGGCTGTTCAGTGCTCAGAATAGAAGGTACAGGGAGACCTTGTGGTACCCTGACATTGGTATGAAGTCTGCCCTTCTGGGCATTTGTTTAGGGGCCCTCAAAACATGTTTGTTACCTCATAGCCGCTTTCTTGTGACTGGAATAGATCAACACCCCCCGAAAGAAGTGTGAGTGACATTACCGGCTGTAGAGATAAAACAGGAAGCGGCTGTCAGTCACTATCCTCCAGGAGTGGCCCACTAGTCAGAGCCCTGAAGCTCCATAGCTAATGAAAATATGCAAGGCCAAAGCTCAGCTTAACACTGAGGGGTTACCAGAGGTGCAGCTGGACTGGTGCTGTCATGGCCGCGTTGGCATGTGGCTAAAGACACAAAACAAGGCCCCCCCTAATTTCCGATTTGTTTTCACAGGATGTGCAGAACCCTCAGTCAGACTGTGCAGCCCTAGAGGAAAGTGTTGGAATGGACTTGGACACCAGAGCTCTTGTAGATGCTGAAAACAATATCACCACAGGAAGGTTAGCATGCTGTCATGGGCAAAATACTATGCTCACATGGCCCCTGGACCCGGAAGGTGTCATTCTGGCTGCTGCTGACATTTCACACTCCAAATGCTCCACATAAGGCTCATGCTACACATGCTGTGTGAGCTGTGGTACCATTGTGGCTCATTCTCTCTCCCCTACATGAGTGTCTGACCTAGTTGGCCTGGTGAGAATGGGCCTTAAGATCACTAGAGCAGTTTTGTTTGAATACCATTGCCATTTTGTTTGGACACCAATACGTCTGCTGGTGTGAAATCTTCCACCCAGTCCTGTTTTATGACCTGGAAGCAACTAAAAGTATCAACTTCCTGGTACGCTGTAGTTGCATGTTGCTGGCAGGCACGGAGTGTGATCCTCTACATTCTGTGTGATTCTACCTTTGCAGATGGGACAACTGCCAGGTGTGTGAGATGATAGATGGAGTCAACATAAACACCTGTGTAAGTCCACTTGTGACCATTTCCCCTAGCATTCACCATGCAACCATGGCTACGAGTGCGACTCCTTGTTCCTCTCCTTCTCACTCTCAGACGTTTGGACAGGAGGGGTGTGATCTGAACGCCAACTCAGAGCTGAGGGAGTGCCCTGGCCAGCCAAGCAGCACTGCCACTGCCCTGGATCTGCGGGGGATCTTTATCGAGAGGGAGTGGGAAGGTAACTACATTTCCCATGATTCCATGGGCTGAGCAGTCTCCTTTGACCGTACAGAAGAGTGGGTACTGGGGCAGTGTGTAGAACGATGCTCTGTCTGCACACAGAGTGTTTAAGGGTGTTGGGGGTGGGTGGGGCAGGCATGCCCTGTGTAGGTGCACCTGCCCGTAGCTCTAGTCATGTCCGCAGCTCATCACACTCTTCTCTGCTATCTCTCCCTGCCCCCCACCCCCCACTCCATCAGCGCCCTGTCCTTACATTTTCCCCCACATTGACTTCTCATGTATGCACCTGCAGAAAGAAGGGGAGGGTAAGTAATGCTCCCATGAGTCATGACCCCTGTACGCTGCCCTTGACACTAATCCCACTCACCCAGGCGGCTTTTCCTGCAGTGCGTTGACTGACTGGCTGACTCATGCTGTGTTTACCGCTTTGCTGAAGAGCAGCTGAGATGGGAACGTGCACTTGGGGAGGGGGGGGGGGGGGGGGGGGAATGCGGGGAGCAGGGCGTCTCCAGAGTCCGTGTCTCAGATCAGCTTAAAGGCCGGGGAAGAATGTGATCCATGCCGTCTATGAAATGGGTGTATACATACATACATCTTTATACATACAATTATGCTGCTTTTTTTTTTTTCTTCCTGTGTACTCCGCAGAAAAAAATCTCTTTCAATCTCCCCCAAGCTGGCCTATCATCTCCACCATTTACATATAAATCCATGCTGTATTTCAGTGAAATTGTCCTACGCATTCTCAGTCTCAGGTTGGACCTGCTTAACTCTGTCTGACACATTGATCTCCTGCTGTCTTGGTTTTAGTTTTACTTGTCCAGGGAAACAAATTTCCCTCATTCAGTCTGTATTTTTACTGGAATTTTACCATGTATCGGTGTAGGCAGTGCGTCATTATCGTTGTGCATTACAAAAATGTACAAGACAGATGTACTGAGGTGTGACTGTGTTGCTAGAAAAGTATGTAGATGAGCCTGGTGTGATTCCTGTCGTCACACAAAGAAGCCACTCTGTGTAGCTGCAGTCACCTACTGTAGATCTGATAAAAAAACGGTGACTCTGTATCTTCACATTGAGCTTTTTGGGCCCCGTGGGCAGTGGCACTGATAGCATTTTTGCCCCCCATGAAAGGATATCCTATTGGGCTCCCAACCCAGATTAGTCTAGTTATATTCCACATTTTTTAGGGCCCCTGTCACTCTGGGCACCTTAGAATGACCCGACCTTTCCCTCCTCTATGGCGCCCCTGCCCATGGGTGTGGCTGGGGTTCTGTGTCCCACTGGTCGCTTAAAGCATTCCACAGAAACCTGCAAGCTTTGCCCCGCCCACCAGTTGATGCTGAGGAACTATGTGAGGTCCTGATGGTGATACCAGGTCTGATCCCCTGGTCCCCATTCACAGCATTTCCTGCAGTGTGTCTCTTACAGTGTGTGCCTTACCCCCTGTCTCTTACCGGGCTTTCTGTGCTGGTACTCTTTGTGGGGAATCTCAGCAGCTATTGGAGAAGGGACAGTACCCAAGGGGGTGTAGTTATGTTCTTGCAGTGTGTTTGGCCTTACCTGCACCCTCCACCCAGAAGCATGGTGAACCCTGTTTGACCTGGAGATGCTGTGTGTGTTTCATTCCATACACCCAGTTTGGGAGGTGCATTTATTGCTGTTTCTGCCTCCCTCCAGATCCTGTCCCGGCCTTCATGTCATGGCAGGAAGACAGTGAGTCTGGGGAGGCACAGTTGTCCCCCCTGGCTGGCCGCATGGTGCCTCCACCGCTGGGGGATAATGCCCTGCAGCTGCAAGCCCGCCACTTTCTCGATTTCGGCCACAGTCAGCGCTTCCTGCACCAGGACCCGGATGGAGTCTCACCCGCCAAAGCGCTGCCATGTGGGAGGTGAGCTCAAATGCAAAAGGACGCAGCTGTAACACTGCTTGCTTGAGTTTGCCGCTGAGCAGCATATCCGTCTGCAGCCACAGGCCCCGTCGTTCTTCCTTCAGTTCCAAAGAGAGCATGAAAGGGGATGCCGTCTCCCACCAGCTCACCAAGAAACTCCAGAACCTCAAGAAGAAGATCCGGCAGTTTGAGGAGCAGTTTGAGAAAGATAGGAACTACAAGGTAAGCTTCACCTCTAGCGCACTGTTCGTCAAATCAGCAAAATGCAAGTGGGACTCCTGTGTAAGACCACCCTGTCCCATAGGCTTCCTGCTCACCTTTCCTCTTTTCCAGCCTTCTTACGGAGATAAGGCAGCTAACCCAAAGGTCTTCAAGTGGATGACTGACCTCACTAAAACACGGAGACAGCTTAAAGGTAAATAAAAGGACTGTGTATCCCTGCCCCCCCCCCCCCCCCCCCCCCCCAAAAAAGTGGACCCTCCCCAAAGACCTCATTTGGTTCTCCAAAGCCCCTGAGGTGCCTTCAGTTACAGATGCTACTCTCCCTCTTCCTCCTCCTCTTCAACCCTTTTGACTCTTATGCCTCTGTCCAACTCCTCAGCATGCTAGTAACAGTGGTCAGCCAAACCCCCTGTGGTTTTGTTGACTGACCCATAGTACGCACGGTTTGGACAGGAGTTGTGCCAACACATCCTAACAAGTCATGTCCTCTTCAGATGCCAAACAAAAGGTGGAGGCAGAGCTGGCTCCCCAGACACGACCCAGGAGCAACACTCTGCCTAAAAGCTTTGGTTCCACACTGGAGCAGGTGGCACATGATGGAGGATCAGACCGCCGTGTAACCCGTGAGGAGACCCTTGAGCTCATCCAGCGGCGTGTCCGGGACAAGCGGGAGGAGGACCGCTGGCCCGAGGATGTCCGGGTGAGCAGCTTGGTTAAGGGCACCACCATTGGGGCCCATGTGTCACCAGCATTCACTGAAGCTTTGAATCTGTTCCTTCTTATAGAAAATGAGTAAGGAGCAGCTGTCCTGTGAGAAAATGGTGTTGCAGAGAAATTTGCTGCATTATGAAGGACTGCATGGCCGTCCAGTAAGTCTATAACTGCCATTCTTGCTGTTAGATGTATCAGTGCCTGCCGCCAACTTCATTGCGGTGCCCTTTTCCTGTGCTGACAGGCAACACGCGAGGAACGGCTGATCGTGAAGCCCCTGTATGACCGGTACCGTCTGGTCAAGCAGATGTTAGCCAGAGCCAGCATCACCCCCTTAACAGTAAGCTCTTCTGATCTCTCACCTCTACACTGCTTGGGAATGTGTCACCACAGTGGTGAAGGCGTGACAGCAGATCGGCGAGAGCACAGAACTGAAGGCAGTGTCTATGCCGCCCCCTAGGCATCGCCCTCCAGCAAGCGCAGGAGCCAGACACTCCAGCCCATCATCGAAGGAGAAACCGCGCACTTTTGTGATGAGATCAAAGAGGAGGAGGAGGACGAGGAGGACGAGGAGATAGGCGGGGAGCTGAGTGAACTAGAAGTTGTCATTGCCCCGGACCCAGCAGCTGAGCCAGGCTCCCCACAGGTCAGGTCCGATTCCTTGGTGCGGCCCAAGACAGAAGACAAGCTGGCCCTTGACCTGCGACTGTCTAGTTCCAATGCCGCGTCCAAGTGAGTGTCCCACACACCACATTCTTCACACCAACCCTTATGGGTGTCTGCACCTAACATACTGAGTTGACCATCAACTATGATGCTTTTTATATATTTATGTAGACTTGCTGCATTTTCTGCACTGTCCCACTGCTGCAAGGCTAAGGCCCCTCCCTGTGTGGGGACAGAAAGCTGTCAGTTTGAGTCTTTAGCTGGATAACAAAATAATAATTTTAAGTAGTGTAGCTGGCTACATGATCCCGGCCTGGGTTCCTGCCTGATGGGTCTAAATGGGGATGGACATAACTAGTATGCAAGTATGCATTCACCTTTACTTGTTTTATGCACATTTATGCTGCTTTGACAAGACATTTCAGTGCATTTTAACCTTTATACCATGAATGAAGTATGAATTAGCATATAAAGGTTAAAATGCACAATAATTTCTTGTCATATCACTGCAAATGCACATAAAATGCATGTGCATTTGCACTGTTACAACAATCAATTGATGCACATATCGCTTTTAAAGGTGAATGCGTACTTGCATACCAGTTATGTGCATCCCTGTCTATAAATGTCCCTAAACAGGTTTAATCTAGTTCTGCTCCTACCAGGATGTCCCCTCACCCCACTGTGCTTGCTCTTGCTGCCCTCTGTTTTTCTAGCAGTATGAGCCTTCAGCAGAGGTCTCTCCTCATCTTGGTGTGGGCTGGATGAAACCTGACCCCTGACCCTTGTCCTGTGTCCCACAGGCCTGAGCTCCTGGAGCAGCTGTGGAAAGCCAGAGCGGAGAAAAAGAAGTTGAGGAAGACCATCCGGGACTTTGAAGAAGACTTCTACCAGCAGAATGGCAGGTTGGTCCCCCCCCTGGTTCTGCAGGCTTTACAGCTGCCTGATCTGCTCGCTGAGCTGCTTTCTGTTTGTCAGGAGAGGCCACAGGCCAGCAGGATGTCCACTACTCTGTAAGTGGATAGAAACCATGTGACCCCACTTTGGTAATGCTGTCTCCACCCCCAGGAATGTGCAGAAGGAGGACCGTGCCCCCATGATAGATGAGTACAAGGAGTACAAGAGGGTGAAAGCTAAGCTGCGTCTGCTGGAGGTGCTCATCAGCAAGCAAGATTCCTCCAAGTCCATCTAGGAGGAGGCCTGCTCCCTCACCAGATCACACCACCCTCCTCACAAAGTTAAGGACAAAGGAGATGAGGAGGATGCCAGCTGGCAAGATCTGACAACCACAGCCTTTGCCTTTTTTTGTTTTTACATTAGCTAGATTTTTTCCATTTCCTCCTCCTCCTCTTTTGTTTTTCATTTCAAGTTGACAGTTTTTCATATAGAGAAACCATTACTGTCTGAGCAGAGACAGATGGATGACTGTTTCACGGCCTGTTACACATGCACTTGGACAAAGAAAAGAGACTCATTTACATGGAAGGGAAATGGAGCGGGAATCCCATCCAGACTCTGATGGACGCCTTTTACCTATCTGAATATTTCCATTCACCAGTACTGGCTTCTGTTACGTGGATGTTTGGTTATAAATCAGTGTGTCTCTGTGTTCACACACATGTGTCACTTTCTGCCACCTCTGAGCTGACAGGACATCTTTGGTCTGTTTTGGTCACAATCTTTTGTTAGGTAGGCAGAGGATATCTCTCTCTCTCATTGTCTGAATCTATCCAAACACTCGTATATTTCAATGTACTCCAGAGTTAATACCAGTGAAACCAACAGTGACCAACTATGGGAGGCCAGGGCTCAGATGGAGAGGGAGGGGCTCATATTTTCAGCATTTGAACAGGGTTGTGTGCTATAACAGGCAAAAAATGTCTCAAAAGGCCAGTTTGTCTCAAGGTTGCAATCCCATTCTTCAGCCAAAAAGCTTGTTGGTCATTGCTCCACTCTTCCTGAGCTCAAGTGCTTGTTTCACAATCATCTATGTATTGTGTTAAACTTCTGTCTCAATACAAGACGGGAACAGACCCATAGGGCTGGATATTGGATGTTGGTAGTGGAATATGAATGGGCTTTTGTTTACTTCTGAACACCATCCCACTAGGATCTGTTGCTGGGCTGCTGCACCTCCTGGAATGAGGGCTTTGCAACCATTTCCAGTTGGTTCCTTAAGGTTTTTTTCTGTCTGACTTTGAGAATTGTTGGAAACTAACTGCATAATTCAGGACACAGTCACAGAGCAGACAGTCTGAAGGCCACAAGTCTTGGTAAATCTTCAGACCCTCGAACCCCTGCACCGATACAGATGCAGCGGAGGCTGGGCTGTTTTAGGTTCCCATATCAACAACCATCCAGCCGCATTTGTGGTGGCAGTTTGGCCCAGGAGTGGCGTGTGGGGAGGTGCAGCCTATGTGTTGTTAGTTGGTTGTTCATAAAGACTACTACAGGTGTTCTGTAGGATACAGGTCGGCATTGCTAAGCTGAGTCCGGCTCACACCTTGATGTTAGATTTACTATATATATAATATATAAAGTCATTTTCTAATCCTCTTTTTTTGTTACCTTCACTTGTAGTGAGCACCCCTGTTTAATGTCAGGCTGTTTTCCATAAGTTGGGTTTGGTGGCATCAGCTTGCAGGGCCAGACCTTTTCATCCCATTAAGATGAAGCAATAAGTGGCATTGACGACTGTGGAAAGGGGGCCTTGATTTCCCTCACTGAAGGAGCTGGACATCACTTTTTTATCCGCTGGTCTAACCTGTTTGAGTGTATCTGAACTAATGCACTTGTCATATTAGACACTCAATGTCGTATCTTATTAATGTGTGGGGTTGCAGGGGTTATTATCCAAGAGCGTGAGACCCTTGCATCCTCTGTCTAATGCTGCCTGGCTTTCTACTTTGCTAACCTCATGTCCACTGTGCTGCAGCGAGTGCTAAATTTGTATCACACAGGATGTACATTTTAAGACCTGGTACCACCCCAAGCATGTTTGTTTTCACTGCCGGAGGTGTCTGGGATGCTTTGTGTCAGATTGCATGAGTGGACACCCCTGGGGCTGTTTCATATCTGAAATACGTATCTGTGGATGTCTGTGTGAATGCTTGTTCGTTTTCGACATGCCAACATTGGTCAAAGTGCAGTCAGTAACAGTATGTTTAATGCAGACAATAAAATGAATGTAATTTACATGCGTGGCTAAACTTTTCTCTGCTCAGCGCTGCATGATGTTTCATTTGGCACATGATTAACACTTGAAGTGCCAGAAGAGGTGAGTGACTGTGAAAGAACACGAGGATAGACTGTAGCTCTTGAAGATAACTGATAACCGACTGCAAGAACTGGGACCCCCACCCTGAGCATCCCTTCAGCTCAACACTGCTGCCAGTCTTAAATGGACAGTCATCCGTTCACTGATACATTTAAACAAGCATAAAGTTAGAGCAGCATTGAAGGTTGTCATATTAATGTTATGATTACCAATACTATAGCCTCATTCTCAGTAGTTTAGTCTGCCCTCTTGTGGCCTCAAATGTTATTACACCAGTCACCCTGATATTTATAATCCAGTGGAAAAAGCTGACAGGAGAATGCCTCCCACAGGGTTTGCCACCATGTCTATGGACCCGGAATTTGCTAAGTCCTTTTTGTATGGAGAATTGGGTCACACTCAGACAAGCATACCAAGAAACATTATTTTTCTAGTCTCTTTGGTATACTATTTTTGAACAGGCTGCAGCCTCTGGGGGAAGCCTAATGTGCCCACCACCTTTACAGGTGTGAATAATTTATGGCCTGGCAAACATTCCATTTCATTTGTTACACATTTTTGTTGTTGTTGTTTAATCCAGCGTCATTTAATTGACAGCACCGGGACACAAACGCACCGAGCTGGATCCCTCGCGGGGCAATTAGTCACACAGCACAGGTCAAAGTGCGAGCACCTGCTCTCCCCCCAAACCAGGTGGGTGGAGATGGACACCAGCTGCTCTAAATTCGTTTCCTTTGTGCATTTGGCGCCACCATAAGGCGACAATGAGGTGGGGGCTGCTACACCCTCTGGCGCGCGTCTGGCGCTTGGTGGGAGGCGAGTCCGTGCCAGCTCCGAGCCGGATCTCCTGCTGACTGGCTGCAGAGACGACCGTGTGGCACCGCCAAGAGATGGCTGGATTCCATCAGGACCCGCCCTCAGTTTCTTAATTAACCAAGTGGCACTCTCAGGCTGATATGAAATCTACGTATATGTTTAATTTACATACACAAAAATTAACAATCATAGTGAGATTTCAGTTTTCTTACCACCGTTTTTTTGTTTTTACTATTTCTAAAAAAAGATCTACAAAGACAGGATGCCCATTCCAATCCGAGCGAATTAAAAAGTGACACATCAGTGAGCAAACAGTCTAGTCCATCTCCCAGTAAACAGGCCCACGTGGAAATCCATCCTTCCAGCACCTGAGCCCATCATCAGCGACCACTGTCATCTCACTCTTAGAAACCTACATAAGATACACTGAGGATCAGCTATAGCTTTAGCCCCACAGTCACCCCTTAGGTCAGGGGTGTCGAACTCTAGTCCTGGGGGGCCGGAGTCCTGTGTAGCTTAGTTCTTTCCCTGTTACACAACAAATGATTCAGCTCAAGAGCTGTGTGGTAATTAGCACAAGGAGTTCCATCAGTGTTAAATGAGGGGAAACCAAAAAATGTGCAGGGCTCCGGCCCCCCAGGACTGGAGTTTGACACCCATGCCTTAGGTGAACTGAATTTCTCATGCCAGCTGACTGCCACTGCGGTCTTCTCTGCTCTTCCAAACGGGGTTTGCTGATGGCCTCCACGCTTAAATGGGAGAGGCTCTGTCCATCAAAGCATGAGAGATGGAAAAATAAAAAATCTCATCAGTGCATTTCTGGTCAGTAGTAAAGACAGGCCTTCATGGGCACGTTTCCAGGGCGGCCCATCTCCTGTAGTCCATTTAGTGTAGTCAAAATGGTTTAATTCCAAGTCATGGACTGCTTCAGTTTCAGATGGTAATTTGGTCCCTTTATGGTCTCATGATGCATGTGGGGAAAATGCTAATTCCCCCCAATCACCCATGCTACTACACTACCTGTTCAGTAGGGGGCACAATCCTCATGAGGTTGTTAAGCTCAAGGGGAAAAAAAAAAACACCTGACACCATGAAGATGTCTGTGATGGAGGTCGGCCCTACCCATTCCTGTATGCACTCCTAACCCAGTCTCCCACTAAGCTAAACTGGGTCCTTGCTAGGATTAGCCAGCCTATCACGGTGTCTCCTCCGGGGTGGCTGTAAGTCCAGGCCACCCAGAGCTCTTGGTCATAAGGGCTTATCAATGACTGATACACCTGGAGAAAAACAGAAAAGAGACACGTGCTCCAGCTATCTGCTGACCATTAACAGTTTTTATGCTTCATTTTATGTTACACATCCGTTTAATAGAGCTAGCTGCTGCACGATTAACAGTTGGGAAGAAGCTGGGCTGAAGTAGCCCCTCCCACAAAACTCACCTGCGTAGCTCCGCCCATTACTCATGTTTGTGGGGAGTAGGCTCCACTTGTCTGTAGCAGGGTTATAGTACTCCACTGAGGACAGGTTGCAAGATCCGTCGTCCCCACCAATCACGTACAACAGCCCATTAATGGCACACACTCCTATGGGGGGGGGTGGCAGGTCAAAGGTCACACAGGGAATATTTTCAGTTATAAAACACTGACCAGACATCCCAACAAGGGTTTGGTGCGGAGCCCAAAGAACACAGTCACACCACAGGGTTATGCCTGAAGGGCGGCGCTGTTCTGCTAGTGGTCATGTTAGCGTGTCTCACCGGCATTCCGTCTGCACATGTTCATGTCGCACACCTGCTTCCAGGTGTTGCTGGGGGGGTCGTACACCTCCACACTTTTCCTGACCAGGGGACCGTCGTGCCCCCCAGCCGCATAGAGCTGCCCGCTCAGCACGCCCACCCCTGCAAGCCAAAACAAAAATGAAAGGAAAACAAACGGCAAGAGGTGTGCCAAAGTTTCCCAGGACGTGGGGGAATGCCTTAAAGTGACTGTTCTGCAGCACCATCTGCTGGAAGCTGCAAATGGCGCAGTCTGGAAGGCCAGCACAGCCCTACTCCACTCAGCTCGCTGGCGCCCTCTCTTGCTCATGGTGAACGTGACAGGAGACAGTAACGGCTGTCCAGTAGGACGCCCTGTGCTGACGGTGCCACGATGTGTATGAATTTTTGAATATGATGCAAGATGCTGTGCGCAGATCCGGAAGTGGGTTTGGTGTGTGTGAGAGGTGGCAGGATGTTTGGTGTTGGGTCAGGGGGCCCCGAGGCCTCGGGAGCAGCCCAGCCCACCCTGAGGTGGCACCAGGAGACCAGGAGGTACCTGCGCCACTCCGGCGTGTGCTCATGTCAGCCACGTAACTCCACTCATTGGTGACAGGGTCGTACGCCTCCACGGTGCTCAGGCACTGGCGGGAGGCTCCATCGTACCCCCCCACGGCGTACAGCTTCCCTACGGGGGGGGTGGGGGAAGTGGAGACACAGAGCAAATTAGCTGATGGTGATGCACACAGCTCATGCAGACACGCAGTCGCAGCCCAGCAAAGCCACGTACCATCCACCATGCCGACCCCCACACTGCTGCGCCGCGTGTTCATGGGAGCCACGGAGCTCCACTCGTCTGTCTTGGGGCTATAGGCCTCCACAGAGGATAGGCCTGCAGGAGGCAGTCAGAGTTAGGGAAGGTGCCGGCCTCACGCAGCAGCTCCATAAGGATATATCACGCCCCAAGTCTTAACAGCTTGGTTACATTTTACCCTTGGGGGGCAGGGGAGGTCTTCTAGGTCCGTAGGTAGGACACAGAAGAGGACAGAACCGGACCAGCGAAGGGGCGGACGGCAAGTGACAGCCCCTTCGACCGAGTGCAACAGAAACAGAGCGATCATGAACCGGTGTGGACCTCGCTGTCACCCCAGCGGAGCACAAACGGAGGCGGGACATACCAGTGCTGCCGTCAAAGCCGCCCACGGCGTACAGCAGGTCCCCCAGCACGGCGGCCCCCAGCGTGCTGCGACGTTCCTGCATGCTGCAGACAGAGCTCCACTGGTCACGCGCACTGTCGTACATATCCACTGTTCGCACACGCAGCGAGCCGTTGAAGCCCCCCACGGCATAGACGCGGCCAGCCATGAAGACCACCCCTACAGGGGCAGAGGGCATCCAGCTGAGAGCCGAGCCTTCGCTTGGGGGGAGGCCAAAGCGCGCATCCGCCACGGACTTACCCGCTCTACACCGCCGGGATGGTAAGTCCGCCACCTGGTACCAGCGGTCTTCCTGCAGGTCATAGCATTCCACACCGCGGATGGCTTTGGGGGCCTGGCCTCCAACCACCATCATCACCTTCCACACACATGGGGGGCAAGGTTTAATACCATAAAAGGAGTATGACCAGGAGGGGGGGGGGGATCCCGGCATGAAGGCCACCTTGGGCAGGCTGACGGGCGTCCGCGGCCGCGTCCGGTCCGTCTCCATCAATCGCCGCTGCTCCACAGGAAGGAGGTGGTACTTCATGGCCTCGATGAGGAAGTCTTTGCAGGTGCTGTTGTTTTTCACCAGTGACTCCTCCTCTACGATCTAGAATGCAAGGGAGTTACTGTCAGTATCAGGACCCGCCGGACACCCTGTACTAGGCTTGGGCGGTATCAATTTTTCGTACCATCATACCTTCTAGACATTTCACACCAGTATGTGACGGTATATATATATATATATAAAAAAAACTTGTAGGCTACTGTAAAGTACAGCATCAGAGATCACCCAAATGAGATCATCAGTGTGGAAGTTGAGCGCGAGGGAAATGAGGAGGCAACTCCTGGCTGAAGAGATAAAAAGCCCACCCATCATTTACTGACACCAAAGACCACCCATCATTTACTGACACCAAAGACCACCCTTCATTTACTGACACCAAAGACCACCCATCATTTACTGACACCAAAGACCACCCTTCATTTACTGACACCAAAGACCACCCATCATTTACTGACACCAAAGACCACCCTTCATTTACTGACACCACTTAGCTTCTCTTAATCTCAGAACACGCCACATGACCACCCCCTAGGGTATATGGGAAACGTAGTTAGCCAGCCTATGAACAGGAGTGTGAATTAAATATTAGTCTTGCATGCAAATGGTCACCACAAGCAAATTATTTCTAGTCTACTTCCAAATAATACTTCTGTTAGCTAAGTTCCCTGCTGTAATAAATTAATTTAATTTTAGATGTGCATTTTCCATCAGTACAAAAAACTTCTGTTTCAGGTAACTTTATTCATATGCACAATGTCCACAAATAGAATGAAAATTAAATTAAAAGACTGGATGGGGAGTCTATTTTCACACAACGATTTATCACCATTATCTAAATTAAACAAGTGCAATGGATGCCACTATTTTTCTTTTTCACTAATGCTGTTATTGCGACGACTTGCAGTTGCCACCTTTCTCACCGGTAGACTGACCTCTGGTGGCGTGTGCCGTGCATTACAATACATCACCTCCATACAGCATCTCTGTATCAGTTAAATAGAAAGAGGATCGTCTGTATTTTTCAGTATTAAAAATAATACCTTTGGAATTTAGAAATACTGGGGTAATACCATAATACCGCCCAAGCCTACCCTGTACCTCATGCCTCAGGGGACAGCAGGTGATTTGTGTCGGGGAGGGTTCAGTGACATGCCACACCTGCACCAGGTAGGCCCGTGACAGCAGGGGGAGCCGCACGTGCTCCATCAGCTTGGGCATGTGGGTCAGCCGCACCTCCTCGTCATGCTTTATCCAAGAGACCATGGCCTCGAACACCTGTGGAGACAGGAGCGGGTTGCGGGCGGCTTCCAGAGGCATCCTGCCACAGCCTGCCTTTCCAAGGTTCCTCCTAAGGCTGAAGCACTCACCTTCTCCTCGGTGGACACGGTGAGTTTGTCGCTGGAGATGAGGCAGCAGACCTGCTGCAGGGAAAGGCTCAGGAATTCCTCCCCCAGCACCACCTCCGAGAAGCGCTGCTCTGCTCGACACACGGCACACCCACAGGTCACAGCGTGCAGCCAGTTCCACTCTATACACGTCTCTCTCTCCACACTAAACCAGTTAGGACTGCAGTTAAACTGTTAAAGAACTAGTGACTGACAAGTGAAGCTGAAAAGTTCACGCCGCAGAGTAACCAGTGTGAACCATGCAAGATGACAGTATCTGACATGCGAGTTAAGTTTAGCAAGATCCGTACTCATAAATCCAACTGTGGCTGCTCAGCGCCCCCTGGTGGCTCACCTGCATAGGCCTGGGCTTGGCTCATCAGCTGGGTACAAGCGTGCAGGTCAGCGAAGGCACGGATGCCCAGGCAGTTAGTGGAGTGCAGCTGGGTGCGCAGGAAGTTGCAACACACCTGACGCACGTCCATCAGCTGCAGGAGGCTGGCAGCCGGCAGCAGGACCTGCAGAGATGGGGGTGGCAGGGCCCTAAGGATCCCCAGTACTGACAAGCAGTCAATAGAACATAAGCTGGGCAAGATGCCCCCTAGTGGTCAGATGAAGCCCCCGGTTCTACAGTACAGCAGGAACATGCCACAACGCAGGCAGCAGGAAACCATTTAGTACTGCACTCACGTAAAAGAACGACTAACAGGCAGACGTGCCTTAAACATTCAGCGTGTCCACCTACTGGTGACAACTGCAGAAGAAACTAAAAACAAACACACTATGGTTCATACGAAGTGGGAGGGGGAGACTCAAGACAGGAAACCACCACATACACGCATTGGCCCAGAGCTATCCAGCCAATGGCAGAGGGCTCTACACGCATTAGCCCAGAGCTATCCAGCCAATGGCGGAGGGCTCTACACGCATTAGCCCAGAGCTATCCAGCCAATGGCAGAGGGCGCTACACACATTAGCCCAGAGCTATCCAGCCAATGGCGGAGGGCACTACACGCATTAGCCCAGAGCTATCCAGCCAATGGCGGAGGGCACTACAAGCATTAGCCCAGAGCTATCCAGCCAATGGCGGAGGGCGCTACACGCCCAGTGTCTCTGTGGACACACACGCACACACAATTCTTACACATGCCTGCTGTAAACACAGAGAGGATATCCTGTTCAAGCACAATAAGAGGAAATGACAGAAAGGCTGCCTAGCACTGGAGGGGGCTGCCTAGACGGTACTGCCCACAGGGCTGGTACTAACCCCACCAAACCAGTCACCATCACGAACGCCATCATGCAAACCTGGGAGTCCATTTTCACACCATGATGTATCACCTTGTTATGCTGAACAATCATTCAAACTTCCAATTTTGACAGAAAATGAAAGTGAATATGAAAGTTCAAACAAGGAGACCTAATGAATGCCAGCCTGTCCAATCACATTGGTCCTGATTTTTATATAAGGAGTAAGTCTAAAACGCTTCTATGCTGTTACAGCTATTCAGTCCGCCCCCTTCCTCCCCTACACCACCCGGCTCCCCGTCCCAGTCTGGGGTTTGGCTCCTTCACCTCCTGCCTGGTCGCCCAGCCAGATCTGTCAGCTTCAGAGACGATGGAGCCAATGACCAAGAGACGGGCTTCGGCAAAGCAAATAAACACTCTTGTTGAGTCAAACTATTGAGGTCTCCTTGGTTGAACTATATTTGAAACAAGTGTAAACCACTTTTTATCACGTTGAATTCAAGCTACCAAGCACATCAGTGCAGTCAGGGGACAGGGGACAGGCCTTGCATGTCTCAGACCCAGGAAGCCTCTGTCTTTGCTCTTCTCTCTTAAGCAGGCCATGGGCTTTTGGTTTTCTTCATTTTCCCCTATCTCTGCGCCCACTTTCCTGAGTCCCACTCACCTGCACGTTCTCCTCGGTCACCTCGATCTCCGCTGTGTAGATGTAGTCCACCAGCCGCTGCAGTGTGTACCCGTCCACATCCCGGATCTCCACTTGCTGGGCCGTGCTCTCGCTCATGTCTCCTGTGCGCGAGACAAAAGGCTCTGCGCATTAAAATGACTGTGCACTGCAAATCGGAGCTTAGCCTGCACAGCGCCGATGCCTCACTCAGCTGCAGAGGGCACTTCGTCTGTCTAACACAGGGGTCACCAACATGGTGCCCGTGGGCACCAGGATGCCCCAAGGACCACATGAGTCGCCCGCGGACCTGTCCTAAAAATAGTACAACCAGTGAACAGCGTCTAAAATTTAATTTTATCCTGTTGCTATTCTTCTTTAATCACATTTGCATTTATATAGATTTGAAAATGACAATATCTAAAAAAAGCATTTAAAACATGTTTATTATACATGAAGTTTAGATAAGTTTAGGAGGGCGTTTCAAACTGGTAGCCCTTCGTATGGCTCAGTACCCGTGAAGTAGCTCTCAGTTTCAAAAAGCTTGGTGACCCCTGATCTAACACTAATCCAACCAGCTGCAACATGCTACTCAAAGCCACGGCTTCATTAGACCACTTCACACACACACACAGTGAACTGGTTTAGCTTTGCTGGTACAAACAGAATGAAAGAGGTCACATGAAGAAGGGCCCATTGAGAGTCAGGAATGGAGTCTGACTGACCATACATGTTCAGCCATCATCTGAATGTCGTCTACAAGACACATTCTGCATATCAGACTCTACATTGGCCCCAGTAATGGACCTGATCCACTGAGTCTTTCAAAGACCAGAAGTAAACATCTATGGTCTCCATCAGGGCCATCACAGCAGACCATAACGTCTCGACATTGGCCAACCTTTCAGGAAGGGGGGGTCTAAAGCCAGGAAGCTGGTGGAAGTTACCTGTGAACATGGCGCAAAAGTAGGGACTGCAGGAGGCCAGAACCACCCTGTGCGCTGGGACCTCCACACCATCGGCCAGAAGGAGGACGTCACACAGCATCTTCCTGCTGCAGAAATACAGCCGGCTTAAGAAACGACCATCCCCCTCCCACACACACATCCAAAGGGGGGAGGAGGGGAAGGGAACAAGTTGTGATTGGACTTTCGAGAGAGAAGCACACGGGGTATTGCTGTCTTTCCACAATTGCTCACTTGTTTACCTGCTAGACATTAGTAATCTTTCACAGGGTACCTTTAAAGGGGAGGGTTTTACAGTGGCATCCATGGTAGGTGTGGTCGACCCAAGCCCAGGGTGCCAGGACCAGCAGCACTATACCTCCTGAGGTCATTCATCAGTCGGAAGGCCTTCTTCATGTGGGTGTGATTAAGGGGGGGCACCCCAGAATCCTTCTCATCCTCCTGCAGGTCTGGTGGGGGTTGGGGGCTCAAGTTTTGGGTCCTTTTCAGTGAGAAAGGGGGGGGGGGTCAGTGATCTTAGTGAGTTAAAATATTTCTCAGTTTTTGCTATATTTTTGTTTTATTTTATTTTTAAAAGGAAAAAGAGACCCACTGACTCACTGGCAAAGACTGACCCCCCCGCCACTAACATTCTACGACATGAACTGTTACGTCTGTACACAGTGAGTTGAGACAAACTGGGCCCGCATATATATATAACTATATTTAGAAGGTTTAAATCGGACAACAGTTGCCAGCCTTTGAGATAAACCACAGTCTGTTATTATATCAAATAAGACACTGACCAACTGACTTGACCCTTAATATAAAATTACCCTCGAATATTTTAAAATGCTTCCTACGCCCTAAAAATCAGTATGACCTCATATTTCTGCGTTTAATTTCATCTCGCAGCAGGGCAGGCTCTCCGGGAAGAAGCGACTTGTCCGTGGGGCAGAATGGTGGTTAGGGCGCACTGACGGAGCTATGCACTGGGACCGGTCAAGGACGCCAGCCGTCGTCGAGTGAGGGAAGAACGGCCAAGCGGAGGCGCCACGGCCGCCCGTGGGAGCACTTCAGGGGGGACAACGCGAACGTGTCATATGGCTTTTTGGAAAAACGCCGCATCCTTTAACTTCTCCTCCCTTGCAGGTTATGTATAATCATAAAAAAAAAAGCATAAATGCAGGTCCAGCTGAGAGGTGTGAGCGGGACGCTGTTTATCGGTAATGCTGTACAGTAGTAGTACATCACATCCCAACAAGCAAGATAAGCCCGCAAGGCGACCTCGGGAACACTCCGGTGGCCGCGAAACGGCGCACCCCGCAGGGGGTAACCTGCTGCAGCCGCGCCGGCACACGACCGCCCGTTAGCAGCTTCCCTCCGGAATGACGGATCGTCCGGCTTTCTTACCCCGCATATTCCATGGCTCCGCTTCTACTGCATGTACTCCAGCGCTGGGACCGTGGTTCCTAAGCACCGCTCTGCTGCTCCTCCTCCTTCCATTGAACGCTCGGAAGCGCAGCGTTGTGACCCAGGTAGACGATGCTATGCTAAGCTAGGCTAGGCTAAGTTAGGCTAAGCTAAGCTAGTAGGCAGTGAGCCCGCCCCCACACCGACTCTATCACCATTGCACAAGCGCACCCACTTGGGGTGGAAGAGGCTGTTTTCCCAGCATCCTCATCCCCAGCCCGCCTTCCCAGTTTCCCTTAGCGCTGCCGTGTCGCGTAGCAACAATACACTCAAATGAATGTGTTCGCGTACGCATAGGAACGCTACAGATCGCTGCTCTGCGCATAACACTTCGGTGTGGACAATTTCTAACAAAAGGAGCCGGCAATTTCCTTAAAGCAAGAGGGATTCATTCAGCTGTATATGTTTACATACACTATTTATTCGTGTTCAGTAACTGGCACGCTGCCATCCTACAATTTAAAAAGGAAAGTGATGCATATAAAGTGTGGCTTATAAAAATTAAAAGCAGACTCCTGGGTTTAACCAGCCTTCACCTAACTAAGATTTAAGATATTTGTCTTCGAGGATTGCGAGATGGGAGTAACCAAGAACAGTGTAGATTGAGCATGTTAATAAACCAGCACACAGATTTTCAGTTTATAGTGATTTTATTGAAGAATTACAACTAAACAAAGGAACAATTCATTTTTAAATAAACAAATCACCAAATCCTTGCATGTAGGGATCCTCTGACACCTAGGATATATGACAAAACTTCTCCCACCCTACTATCACACCTAAAGGGGGTCTTTGGTTGCGCCAGGCCCCTGAGCAGCCCACCTATGTGTAAATTGACCCTGCATGCAGGATCTGCATGCCACGTGCTTCTTCCCCATATGGATGCATTCCTTAGCCAGGCTGCTCCATGCCTACTCCGGGTCACCAACAGGACGAAGGACATCATGTGAAAAGGTATTCCTACAAGAGGTAGAGAAGTTGCATTAGAGCCCATTTTCAGGAATAATTCACTCGTAAATGTTGCCATTGTCGGCCGGAATATTTGTAAAACCGACTATTTGGGTAAACGCCCGCATTTTACATATACGCAGTGTGATTCTGCTGCCATCTTGCGGCAGTAGGAAAATGCGCATATCCAACCGATCAGTCACCTCAAATCGTGAAAGCAGCAAATCACTAAAATACACAATTTAAGATTAAAATTCTAAAGGCTTTGTGTTATATTTCTAAAAGAGTGCGTTAAATTATCACATATTGTACGTGTTTATTCTAGGTCCTTCTGCGTGTGCAAACGGAAGTCGTACGATAAATCAGGAAAGGGGAAATCACCACTTATCGCTGCCTGCTGCGTTTTCATCATCTGATACCGCTCCGACGCGAATGCACAAAGCGATGGTGAATCTTTTTTATGGCATAGATATGCTGCAGTTCCAAGCTGGCATGAGCAGACGGTGCCTTTTCAAGCCGATGGGGGGGCGGATGACACCGCCTCCACTTCCAAAGCCTGATGCAATCCTGCACCGCCTAACAGATGTCCGAGCCTGCAACCCGCCCCTTCTCCACCCGCAGCACTCCGCCACCGCCCGGCTCACAGAAAGCACACCTTCCAGTATGACAATCCCCATTTAAATAAATAATGAGCATTTAGGATATGCATGCAAGTCAATACTTCTGCATGCAACCAAAGAGCCAGATAAACATCCAAAAATAGCCGCCGTCACCCCCAGTACAGAGGCACCACACGCGTCCGCTCGGATTCCCTTACTTATTTTGGACCTATAAGTTTCTGAAGCATCCCGAAGAAGCGCCCCTCATTTTCACAGGACGTTGGTGCAGGCGTTTTTTTCCCCCCACACCAAAATGAGGCTTCCCGTCAGATTATAAACACGTAAATATGATTTTATTTTTTTTTGGGCAGCGCATGTACCATAAGTCTCATTCGGGCACAACCCATATGTGTGCCTCGGTTTTACATAATTTAAACGATACATCGGTATCCCTTCATTGAATTACTCGCTCTAATGACCAGTTTAAATCAAAATGAAAGCTCTCACACAAGTATTTTACAGCTTCACCTAGTGGAACAGATGGCCAGGCACCCCTCCCCCCAAACAGCACGGGGAGAGGGAGGTCCACATTCTGACCTCCCATAAAGGGCTGAGAATTCAATAATAACCCCACAGTTGAGCATATACTATAATAATATTACACCAAAGACGAATTTAAAACTGGAGTCAATTTTTAGATGGAATAAAAATAAAAACACAAATAAGATTAAGAATAATAACCGGCCGACCAAAGAAACCCTTTCTTGAAGTATCCAGGACCAGCATATTTATAAGTATCTCCAGAAAGGCCCTCCTGTTCACACACATAGGGCCAGCAGACACTTACCATGATCTCACCCGTGGTCTGAGGCAGAGAGCTCCAGTTCTCAGCTCAGTTTGGCCAGTCTGAAGTCAGTCTGGCGCCATCTTCATCAAACAGGACTTAAAAGTAACAATTTATTAAAATCCATCTGCTTTGTGAATTCTGGGGAGGAAAAGGGAAAAGATACAGCTTTAAAACAGGACGATGGGTTTTAAACACAAACGACTATATTAAAAAACTGCCCATCTACCTCTCTGCCCACTTTCCAGCATGACCACTGCAATGGGCCCCTCTGGAAAAGATCTGTTCTCCACACTAACATGTACCTGCTAAATTTGGTCACCAGTACTGGAGGGGGTGGGAGCAAATAAGACATCCTTCCAGATGCGAATGCAATACAAATTTGGTTGATTTGTGATGGAAAGTGCTTCAAATAACCATCAGGTACAGTTTACACAGTCACTTTAAGAGAACCCGCCGAGTGCCAATACAAGGCCACTGGGGTCATAGCAACATATGACCATTTACATCTAAACAGAAGCTACCAAATGCATTAAGTGGGCAGGACTACTGAATCGCATTAAGATGTTGGGGGAAAGGGAAGGTGGTTAGGTGTAGGAGAAGTAACTGAAGTCACAAACCTTGCATACAAACGCTGCTCTCCTTGAATTGGGTGGAATTAAAAAGTGGAGCTAAAATCGTCAAGTAAACAGGAAGTCTAAGCCCCACTCCGGTACGACCTCCTTAAACTGAAAACTGTCTGGAATATGGAGTTATAAGACATCTGAAAACCAGAAGCACATCTAAACTTTTAAGAAAGAAGTTTCAAAAAAGGAAAAAATAAAGTCATTGACTCTATGGCGATTTAAAGTGAAATTGACATCGACTTATCTAATGAAGTAATTGACTTACCTATTTAAAGAAATTAGTCAACAAAGACTAAAAGACAGGTGCATGCACTTACTTTACATTAAGCTGCAAAACACTTGGTTGGTGCAGCATAACCTGCCTTACAGAATCTGTATTTAGTAAGATACACACTTCATTAACACGTCTTGTGGATAAAGTATTGCTACAAACCTGAGGCGCATATCCTATGGATTTTCAGCTGGGTTTCTACAGCTCTGGAGTACCCCCTGGAGATTCCCATGACGCAGTAGGCACAGCTAAGGTATACATCCAGCTTTTTTGTTCACTAAAGGTTTGGAACAAAGCTCTAACATTTATTTAGGAAGGAAGATACATTGTACATAAGCTCATCTTGATGCTAGGAGGAGTGCAGAAGTAACCAAAGGTTTGTTTGTGGCTTCAAAACCAAGTTTTAAAATACCTGCTTGCAAAGTCAGGATTCCTTCATGGTCACCAGGGGTCATTGAGACCCCATTAAAACAGAGGCAGGAGATAAACAGAGAATAAAGAATGCTAAGACATAATGTACTGGTGAACATTGCACAGGCCCTGGTACCAGGTATGCCCTGCAATTCTGGCTCAAATAGTATTCATAAAACACTTTAAATACACTGGGAAAACTTTATTAACTCAAAAAGTACCCCATAAGGCTTGTATCCTCAAATAAACGTAACTTCTATATAGAGTAAAAAGTTTTATTTAAATGGAAATACATACAGTTTACCGGTATTTGAAATAGACAGTAGAGGTTAATCTATGTACCAGAAATACAATGAAACAGACATATAAATGTCAGTATCCATAATGGTGCTGAAGTCCTTTGTTTTTGTAATGATTTTACTGGAAAAATAGGAAAAACAATCTTGAAAATGCTCAGATAAACCTGTTTTTTTTTTTTACTTCTCTGTGATTGAAAAGAAAAACATATTCACCGTAACAACTAACAATGTCATAATAACGGCAACCACTTGACTATAACATTCACACTAACTGGGAGCAAACCACAGGTCAAGCACTAAAACGGGGCTTTTAGATCTGATTTAGTAACAACGGCAGTGAACCTACATTACTTTGAGAAGAGAGTGACCTAGTCCTTAAAAATCCTGCGTCAATCTTTCCCATTTGGACCGAATAAAACTAGACATAAATTATTCTATCAAACACTTTGGTATTTTTCAGGGGAATACGATTTTGATTTTAGACAGCAACTAGTTTTGTGAACTGGAGCCACCTAATTATAAACAGAACTAAGGACTAAATCAAGTTCACTGCAATTGACTACTTGGCTACTTAGGTCAAAACATGGGGTCTCAGGAAAAAAGAAAAACACTTAATATAAACTTCAATACAGATGTTTAAAAAGAAAAGAGGCAATTAAGTTACAAAACACATAAACTAAAGCAAATGAAAAGAAACCAGACCTGCACTAACAAGCAAAGCATCTATCTGAACTGACATGTCAGATGTGTATGGGAAGAATACAGTGAGCCGTAACACGTGGAGTCCACCCCCCACCCCGGAAATTAACAGGAAGCGTGAAGAGTCCTCCTACATCCCCCTGGCCTAGGTTATCTGGATGGATGGAGAAGGGCACGGCCGCCAAGCTGAGGACTGCCTTGCGTGGGCTGCCCGGTAAGGAGCCCCTACCTGCCTGCCCCCGCCCGGGGGCATCCACAGGACGGCCCGGGTAGTCTAAAGTGAATGTGGTGGGAGGCTCTGCGTCTGGCTAGGGGATGAAGCTGCAGGGGGGCGCGTTCTCAGGTCCTTAATACGAGCCTCCGTAACCCCCCCTGCCGTAACCGCCACCGCCTCGGGAGTACGGCGCGCCGCTTCTGCCCGAGTAATTACCTTTCATTGGGCCGTAGCCAGAGGACTGCTGGCCGTAACCGCTTCCAAAATCATTGTAGCCGTTCCCGCCGCCGTAGCCGCCCATTTGATCGCCATAGCCTCCGTATCCACCGCCGTAGTTGCCTCCGTATCCACCGCTGTATCCTCCATCATTCCCCCCGTAGCCGCCATAGCTGTAGCCGCCTCTTCCGCCTCCGTAGCCATTTTGAGACCTTCCCATTCCCCGTCCGCCGCGGCCCCGGCTCCGACCACCGGCGGCCTGCATCTCCTGCTTGGTGAGGGCTTTCTTCACCTCCACCTTGTGTCCATTGATGGTGTGAAACTTGAGCACCACCGCTTTGTCGGCCGAATCATTATCATCGAAGTAGACGAAGCCGAAGCCGCGCTTCTTGCCGGTCTGCTTGTCGCTGATCACTTCGGCCTTTTCGATTGCGCCGAACTGGGAGAAATACTCCTGGAGGTGCTCTTCCTCCACGTCGTCTTTCAGACCGCCGACGAAGATCTTCTTCACCTTGGCCAGGGCCTCGGGTTTTCCGGCGTCTTCACGGGCCACGGCCCGCTTTAGCTCCACGTTGTTGCCGTCCAGCACATGAGGTCGGGCGGCCATGGCGGCGTCAGCCTCCTCAGCGGTGGAGTAGGTCACAAAGCCGAAGCAGCGCGACCGCTTCAGTTGCTGGTTCTGGACAACCACGCAGTCAGTCAGCGTCCCATACTGCTCGAAATGTTTGCGAAGACCGTCGTCGGTGGTTTGCACGTTTAAGCCGCCGACAAACAGCTTGCACAGTTGATTTTCCATCTTGGTCGTTAGGTTAATGTATTTATGTATATGTACGCCTGTGCTACTTCGATTGCAACAACAAAGTCCGTATGCTTTCACTCAGCTCGAAATGGCGGAAGGTTGGATGCACAGGAGGATAAGAAATGGCGGATAAGAGGCGTTTCCTAGACTTCCAAACGCCCAGTTGTGTCGTTTTCATCATCCATTGGCCGGCCGATGCCTTCTTTCATCGCTCTGCTTCTGAGCTCAACCCCCTCCCCCAGAGCAGCCACCCTCGCGGCTCTTTCTTCGCAAGCAGGCAGTTTTTCGTAATATCGCTAAAAATGAGTATAGGAAGAACCTATTATGTGAAGATGGTTTGTTGAAGTAATCGATGTTCAGGTGTTGTGCACAGTTAAAACGAGAAATCTACAACGCCCTCGCGAAATACGAAACTGGCAAGTTTGATCTTACAATTCCCCTATTATAAAAACAGCCCTCCCCCATAATTTTAAGAAGCCTAGCTAATTCATGAGTTTGAGACTCCTTCGCTGTTGCCCCCATGTTGACTGGATTAAGTCAAAAACACACCTACACGCAGAGCTTGGTTTAGTGAGAGGACACTCGATTAAGGCGGCGTTTCCTCTAAAAACATCATTTTGTAGCATGTAAAAGTAATTTAAGTATCAGAGGGAATCCCGCTATGCTGGTTCCAATACGCCCGTCCAGATTTTGCGGCGCATCCAGCCCAAGCTCCACCCATCAGTCATTCAGCCAGAGTGGATGAAGACAAAGCGGCAAGTGAATGAACTCGGCGGACTGTAGTTATACAGCCAGCATCCGATGGTAAAATACAGGTTGGGAACATTAAAAATTTTATTACAAGCCAAAATCATCAAGGTGTACAATACAATTAAAATCACATTCCACACACAAGCACGGGTCTCGCGGATGGGGGTGGGAGACCCAGAGGGGGGAAACGAAATCACATTACAAAATAAAAATGAACACTCACATAAGCATCAGGGCATGGTGGGTGCCCAAAATAACTTACTCACAGCAAAAATAAAACCGAGGATGAGTATATTTTGAACACATTTCCGTTCCCCTGAGTTTGGTACGACTAAAGCGAATTTTAGAAGTCGCATGATACGATACAAGGGATTAAATTACAGTATGTCGCCCTACGTTTCGGGGCTTATAAAAACGACGAACTAGAGCCATCACAGTTACAATCTTGACAGTATTACAGGAAGTTTAAACTAACTACAAAATGTCCGTTCAATAGGCGTCACTTGGAAATACTGAGGTCGGGAAGCGAGGAGATGAACATGGAGTCGCACGTCCTTCCCCGGGCAGATACAGGTAGTGAATACACCGTGTGTATCCGGATCGGCACATGTACAGGTGTCTCCTTCCCTCCTCGCACGCCGATGCATTTACAAGGTCCATGTTCAAAATCTGTAGGTCCCCAAGCAAAGTCCCGAACCGTTAGTGGACGTTACCAAGTGAAAATGACTAATAGCTACCGTATCCACCCCGACCGTAGCCACCGCTGCCACCTCGGGAGTAAGGTGCGCTGCTCCTGCCTGAATAATTCCCCCCTTTCACTGCGCCGTATCCGGAGGACTGCTGAGCGTAGTCGTCCCCAAAGTCACTATAGCCGTTCCCGTAGCCGCCTCCCATCTGGTCACCGTATCCCCCTCCGTAGCCTCCCTGGTTACCATAACCACCGCCACTGCCGTATCCACCGCCGTATCCTCCATCGTTCCCCCCGTAGCCGCCATAGCTGTAGCCGCCTCTTCCGCCTCCGTAGCCATTTTGAGACCTTCCCATTCCCCGTCCGCCGCGGCCCCGGCTCCGACCACCGGCGGCCTGCATCTCCTGCTTGGTGAGGGCTTTCTTCACCTCCACCTTGTGTCCATTGATGGTGTGAAACTTGAGCACCACCGCTTTGTCGGCCGAATCATTATCATCGAAGTAGACGAAGCCGAAGCCGCGCTTCTTGCCGGTCTGCTTGTCGCTGATCACTTCGGCCTTTTCGATTGCGCCGAACTGGGAGAAATACTCCTGGAGGTGCTCTTCCTCCACGTCGTCTTTCAGACCGCCGACGAAGATCTTCTTCACCTTGGCCAGGGCCTCGGGTTTTCCGGCGTCTTCACGGGCCACGGCCCGCTTCAGCTCCACGTTGTTGCCGTCTACTACATGCGGCCGGGCGGCCATGGCGGCGTCGGCCTCCTCCGCGGACGAGTAGGTCACAAAGCCGAAGCAGCGCGACCGCTTCAGTTGCTGATTCTGGACAACCACGCAGTCAGTCAGCGTCCCATACTGCTCGAAATGCTGCCTAAGTCCATCATCTGTGGTCTGCACGTTAAGGCCCCCAACAAAGAGCTTACACAGTTGGTTAGTCATGACTTGATTAAACCGCTTTTTCCCGCAGCAATTCGAAATGCTCGCCGCAGCTGCGGGTTTCTTCTTTTGAGAGAATCGAGGGCGTTTCTGTCCTGCGTCACGAAACGCGTCACTTACTGCGATTGGCTGCCACCGCGCGGCTTCGAGATCTTCAAACAGATTTAAATGGTCGCATTAGCGTTCGTTACTTTCTTTTATCCCTCTTGGTCGAGTATCTCCATTCTTCTCACTGATACGATACCCACAATATAGAATACATGGTTTAAATAAAGAAAAAAACCCGCAGAGGTACACTTACCTTCTTCTCGGTCTACTTAAAAATATTCATATCGAAATGGCTACAATTACCTATTGTCCACAATTGTGCTCATTTTTTACGTTACTAGAAGCGCGTGCGTATATGTACATACGCAGCATGTACGCAACATAAGCGCATTTTCAGTGTAGTCATGTTTATCCAATTTGTTTGTTTAAAAATTGAACTGAACCCTGACAGTGTATATTTAAACTATAGAGGAGCAAAAATCAATCTGGACAGGCACAAGATAGCCAAGTCAGTCCCAAATACTACCAGTTTATTTTACACATTTAGCAGACATGATCTAGAATATAATTGTGAAAGCAGGGACAGCCAATCCCTGAAGTAATTGGTGGTTAAGGGCCCAAAAGTGAAATTATGCCAGCTATAAGACTTGATCCAGCAACCTTCCCATTTGCTAAAAAGATTTAAGATACACAAAGATACCTAGATACAATATAAAATTAAATTATGTAATCATTTGAAGAGATTTTCTCTGATTTGTTGAGAAAAACATCCACAATAATAAAGGTGATTTTCACCTCACATATACATGGCTCTGGTTAACAGACGAATTGTAACAGTGCATAATTATTTTTAATGTGCAATAAACTGAACAGTGCATTTGTTATAATACAAGCATGTAGAATTAAAGTTTAAGCTCAAATGAGGTCAGCACTTAAAAGTTGATTTTAAGGCAACAATTTAAAAGGTCTAATACAAATATTTGAGTGCTTATTCTTCACATTACCAGGCCTAGTAAATGGTTTCCATTTGCCTCAAAGGGTAATGATTTCATGACGACACATTTGATGAATTTATTAGGAATTGCATTTACAAACTGTGACATGTATCTCAAGAGTGGACATTAAGTACACAATAAAATTGAAATGTAACATCTTTTCTACTTGACAAACAGATTTAAGAATTTTAGGAGACAGTGCACTGAAAACAATAATGCTTGAGAGAAGATGAAAACAAAAGACAATCTTAAATGTGCCACTGGGAGACCCAATGTTCTTGAACGATCTGTTGATAATCCTTCAGATATAACAGAAAATTTTTGCTCCTGAGGTGTTCCAGACTTTGATTTAAATATTCTACGCAGTAAAACTGCAACTCATCATGATTTGATACAATTAAAAAAAATACTAATGGGAAAAGAACCCAGGTGGAGCTTGTGTTTTTCTACACCAAGTAGTTCTTGGTATTTATTGAAGAAAATTACTGAAGTATATCATGAAGGTTTGGAACCTGTGGATGCTGAGCAACCATAAGACATCCATATTCAGTATAGCATATGAACCCAAACACTGTCATGCACATCCTGCAGGCAGAATCTTGTCTAATCATACCATAACAGGTGGCTCCCTCTCAGACACAAACCCAAACCTACACACAGCCCTGCAGCTCAGCCTTCAAGTCTCCATTTAGAGGCCAGTTCATGGAGCCCACGCTGAATCATGACTACATACTCCCAAGCAACACCCTTCTGACTTCGTCTGAGCTACAACAATTCAAGACGGTACATATTTTATTGCCCATCTATGCAGTTGCCTTACGCCTGCGTAGTTTGGAAATCTTTTTCACATCCTCCGAGTGTTGTGTGGGGTTCTTCCTGCAGATAGTTAGGGCTAGGGCACATGCGCCTTGCGATGGAGTGGCACCTCATCTTGTGCCCTGTCCGTCCTGGGATGGTGCCCAGAGCACCATGGTGGCTCAGCACTGCATAACTGGTCAGAATCTTGTATATAAAATTCATAAAAATTACCTACGTAGGAAAAACACACTGCTTCACCCATCTTTAAACTGCATATTCCAGTTAGGTTTGCCAGGGTTTCGGGAGCCTATCCCAGACAGCAGGGGGCAAAGGGTCCATCACTGGGAACAAACACACATGCATAAACTGGCCAAATCAGACCCACCAGCTAGACTGACTTCATATCTATGAATGGAGGGAGGGAACCCATGTCACAGGGAAAACATGCAAATTCCATACACAGAGACATTCAAACCAAGGCATCAGTGCTACACCCTGAACCACCATGATGCGCCAAACAACTTCCTGTTATCCCATTTCACCACCATTTGAAGTCATGGACCTCAAAATAACGGACATAACGGATTTTAATCCAGGACCTTGTACTAAAGATGAGATTCTGCTTTAACCTAAATAAAACAATTACAGAACCCTATACAGTACCTTTAACACACATACTTCAAAATCTGTACATTCCGCATGAATTTGTCAAAAGCACCTCAGTTGCACTACGTGTTTTTCTTTAAAAAATACTCTTACCCCAGCTAAGCATATATTTATGAAGCAGACTGCTGCTAGTTTATGGGAACTGTGATTAATTTCAATATGTACAGATTAAAAAGCATCACAAAAATAGGCAGGCACTGTCAATGCTAATAAAGGCAATTACAGACATGCCAAGATAATTCCACATGAGAAATTAAGTATCAAAACTGTACCTATACCCTGTATGTACCTTTTAATATATACTGCACATTGACCTGCTGCTGTTCGCAGAAAACTACCTCAATCTTGTATTTTGGACACGTCTGCTGCTAAAGTTACAGTATAATACAAAATTCATTCAAACTAGCACCGTTACGGTTTTGTCTTGCTTGTATTGTAGCTCATCTTTCTTGCACTTTGTGTAATTGTCCTGTCTCCATTTGGGTAGTCTTGTGCCGTTTTAGGTTGTGTTGCACCACGGCCCTGAAGGAAATGACAAACCTACTTCACCTGAACGTACATCTGTCATGAAATAATCCTCAAATGTTACATAAATCAGTGATCATTGTACTTAGAAGTCAGGTAAGGAGGATTCCTAATGGACAATCATGACTTCTAGCTAGTTAACCCAACTAAAAAAATATAAATTAAAATAAAAATCATGCTTTGCGGAACACCCCCAGTGGTGAGAGATGAGCACCACTCAGCTTGAGAAATCTGCTTCATCAATTTGGAAACCTCCCAGGAACCAGGTTCACTTTTTGGCCTTCAGTTCATGTCTAACTTCACATGAACACTGACACAAGGGAACTGCTGATTCATGTTACACCCTGAGAGACTCAAGTCTTCTCTACTGCGTGTATACACCACAACAGGCTCCACACTAGGGTTGGGTGCCATCAAAAAAATAAATAAATAAATGGTTCATCCTGAATAAAATCACACGAGTCATCCAACACCCCCTCCAATACACGACACCAAATGGAGCACTTAAATCATGTCGGGAAGATGCAAAAGCAATTGCTAAACCTGCATTAAAACTGGAGAGGGGGACCTTGCTATTTTTTAAGCCTCTGTGGAAGTGTGGAAGTCAGTGGGCCAGATTAGTCTACGTGTATATCAAAGTACAAGTGTCCGGACTATTTTCATTATGAGAACTACTTTCATAGTTATGTCAAGACCAACCTGGAAACATGTGACAATATACTGTTCAATCACGATTGAACACTCCTGGCCTAAAGCAATAGTTCACAAAAACTTACAGCAAGCTCTAGCCACATACCACCATTAAAACTGATGTCCACAAACACCAATAACTTTGCATAACATGCATCTAGGAGGAAAACGTTTCTCAGATACACAGGCTAGAAGGCTGAACTGAAAGCCAATGTACAAAGCTTTATCTTTCCGTCTTGTATGTAGCATGTAGCCCCGAGTCTTCTCCCCTGACAAAGGTGATAATCACTCGCCAGTTAGTCAGCTTTGAACAGACACAGGGTTACTTGTTACTTACCAAAATTGTCAAATAGCCCAGCCCTACACCACACCTGTGTGCACTGAACTGCTCTCGCTCGGAGAGATCATTCGCAGACACACAAGACTTGAACCAACGTGAAATTAAAAAGGAAAAAATCTGCTAAACTAAAGTCACATATTTTTTTAAAAGTGTGGGGGGGGGGGGTGAAGAGATCAGACTCAGTTGTAAATGGGCTGATGTAATGAAACTGGTTACACTAAAACACAACATACACACAAACACCATGAACTGCGAAGCAGGTTATAATTAAACACATGACATGCGTGATAACACTTGCATTTTGATAAGCACATTTGACAAAAACCAGGCACTCATAAGACTTAGAATCCATAAGTGAATGTTTTTATAACAGGTTGATGCAAGTAACCCACTGGTGTTTGACAAAACATTTCCATTTCATTTTGCGTCCTGAGCAGTTGCTCTAAAGCACAGCAGCCACATAAACTTTACTCAGTGTAGACTAAAAGTGTGATCAAACAGCAAAGAATTGCACTCCCTTTAAATAGATCGTACTGCAATGTCAAACCAGGCTAACTAAGAGCCTATGACTGAAAAGTAACAGATTAAAAGGTCATGCCATTCGAACTGAAGACTTCATTGATTTAAAGGATCCATAAATCACAAATTTAAGACAATTCAAGAAGTATTCAGAAGTTATTCAGTCTGCGGCAAGTGGTGGATCAAGACTGATCAAACTGTTCCTGAAAGAGAAATAAAAAATTAATAATTTGGTCTTTATTGCACACATGAAGACAGGTACTACACTGTGCTCTGCTTACAACGTGATCCAAAACAGAGGAAACCATGTAACTTAAGTCTATATTGTAGCAGCAAACCTTTCAGTCCAATAGGGACCATCACACAAGTCTGACATCATAGCAGCTTACATACACAAGTGCGAATCATGTAATAAACTGACTTACCTTCAGCAGTAATCAGAAGCAGCTTATGAAACTAGTTCTAATCCATATACCTAATGCTTCACAGCAAGTTAAATCATTTCCCATCCCCCAGTCTCTAGCCTACCTGCATGAATGCTCCCACTTACCAAGGCTGCAGTGTTTCGGTCACACCTAGGTCCGCCAACAAGGCAGCAGGGACCAAGCCATCGAGATCAGGCCTCCAGTCACCTGGAGACAAGACATCAGCAGGTTGAGCACAAAGCAGAACATAGGAAAACCAACCATTTTCACCCACTTAATCATAATGAAGTTACAATCTAAAATGCAAGTTATTGACTGGTGTTTTAGTTACATGCAAGCACCAAAATAAATTCTGAAGTTCTTAGAACCAAGAAGTATTTAGAGACAACGAGTTACATACCTAGTTTTGAAGGATGTCATCCTAATGAAATATCTGAGTCCTACCACAACCCCCAGGTACTGAACACAGCCCCTGTATAAACTGCTATGGCTATTTTGGGGTACGGTACCAACACCTAAATACAGGGATCAAAAATGCAAGCCCTCCGTTAAGATGTAAGAAACAAGTCACAGTTTATCCATGCAATGTGGATAGCACAGGAGCACAAGGATCCAGCCTCCAGATGTGATCACCTCAACAGTACGGACGAAAGCCACAGTTCTGGCTGGATAGCTGCTGGATCCATTGGGCAGCAGTGCTGTTAGACCTACTTTCGCAGGATTCCTACATGTAAGTGTGCTATAGACGTTAAACCTGCAAGTTATTTGCTTCATAAAGAGAGACAGTAAAACCTGGAGTTGCACTTCGTTTTTATTTTAAAAGGTAAACATACAGTTGCATACCAATGTTTAACAATGCTAAGGTGTTTTAAACGGCAACAAGATTATACAATATACATGAAAGCATTTTGAGGGATGGGGGAAAATAATCAGCTCAGCCTGGCGAGGGCGAATGATCCCTCATCACTAGTCATACAACATTTGGCAAAGAGACATCCGATGGCACTGCAGCTAAACGACTGCGGTGAACTTTACAAGCATGAAACTCCAAAAGTTTTAACGCAAAGTATTCAAAAGCATATATATTCGGCCACATGGTACCAGCCGACTACCGCTACCGAATCCCGGCCACATTACAGAGTTTAAAAAAGGAATCTTGGTAAAACAATAGGTATAAAACCCAAACAAAAGACCTGGGCTAAGTTTCGCCACTTTTCAGAACATGTTTGATTTTTTAAAAAAAACTTCGTCCACATAGCATAATCAAATAAGTGTTTGGGGGAGTCTGCAGTGGGGTGGTCTTAGAGGGGTGGTCGTGCGTGTCTAGATTTCTGGAAGGGCGTCTTCCTACCTGGAATCGGAGATGTTCTGCGGGGGGGGCATCGCCCGCTACGCAGCAGCGGTCAATTTGTGTTCAAAAGGTGGTCCAAGGTAGTGGCCATCATCGGCGCCAGGGGTGTTCCCGGGCCCAGTCTCTTTCAGGGTTGGATTCAGTAGGAGCCGCCGTAACCCCCTCGGCTGTAGCCGCCACCGCCGCCCCCTCGGGAGTAAGGCGCGCTGCTGCGGCCGGAGTAGCTGCTGCTGCCTTTCATGGGGCCGTAGCCGGAGGACTGCTGGCCGTACCCGCTGCCAAAGTCACTGTAGCCGTTCCCTCCACCGTAGCCGCCCATTTGATCGCCGTAGCCGTAGCTGCCGCTTCCTCCGTAGCCACCACCATATCCGCCCCCACTGCCGTAGCCCCCGCCGTAGCCACCGCCGTATCCTCCATCGTTCCCCCCGTAGCCGCCATAGCTGTAGCCGCCTCTTCCGCCTCCGTAGCCATTTTGAGACCTTCCCATTCCCCGCCCGCCGCGGCCCCGGCTCCGACCACCGGCGGCCTGCATCTCCTGCTTGGTGAGGGCTTTCTTCACCTCCACCTTGTGTCCATTGATGGTGTGAAACTTGAGCACCACCGCTTTGTCGGCCGAATCATTATCATCGAAGTAGACGAAGCCGAAGCCGCGCTTCTTGCCGGTCTGCTTGTCGCTGATCACTTCGGCCTTTTCGATTGCGCCGAACTGGGAGAAATACTCCTGGAGGTGCTCTTCCTCCACGTCGTCTTTCAGACCGCCGACGAAGATCTTCTTCACCTTGGCCAGGGCCTCGGGTTTTCCGGCGTCTTCACGGGCCACGGCCCGCTTCAGCTCCACGTTGTTGCCGTCTACTACATGCGGCCGGGCGGCCATGGCGGCGTCGGCCTCCTCCGCGGTGGAGTAGGTCACAAAGCCGAAGCAGCGCGACCGCTTCAGTTGCTGGTTCTGGACAACCACGCAGTCAGTCAGCTTCCCATACTGCTCGAAATGTTTGCGAAGACCGTCGTCGGTGGTCTCAACATTAAGGCCACCGACAAAAAGCTTACACAATTGATTTTCCATGTCTCCGGTTCTTTGTCCGCAGTTAAGCAGCCTGTCCGATCAGCTCTCTACCACACAGCGGCGGGAGTGAGCACGAGTATCCGCCTTTAAAGCCACGTTTACGTCAAAAAAGACGCGCGCAACCTATCACGGCAAGTCCCGCCACAGCTCGCGGAAGCGATTTGTTGAGCTCCATGTGACAGGGGCCAAGCTGGATGCCGTATACGGAGACATAAAAAGTATACATAGACGATGGTGCAACTGTTACTATCTGCGTTATTACTAAATAAAACCACTATAAATTCCATTCTCAGAACCAAAAAGCAATGGTCTCAGTTTTACTCATATTCAAAATATGTTACAATTTAAAAACACCCCCAATATCAACCGTACGTTATGGTAATTAAATAAAAAAAATCAGTTCTATTCATTTAACTGATAATTCTTATAAATATAAGCGTATAACTGTGTTCAAATACAGTTGACTGTACGCCCAATAAGGCACATCGTCAATAAACTAATTGTTTAGTTCAGATGTTTTGACAACTAGGCTATCATTTTGAGAATTCCACATATCACAACAGTCCAGGGCTGCGTTTTGCAAAACCCTCGTAGTGCTACGATCAAGTAACTTCAGAGAGATCATTCAAAATGACGACCCTTGGGTAGATTGGGTCTCTGTTGATCTGAAATGCTCTAGACTCTCAAATGACAGCAGACGCATTTCAACCAGTTCACACGCCACACCTTGTGTTCCTCACGCTGCGAAGTAAGGGATAACGCCGACCAAGCTGCCCCTTTAAATAGAATTAATAAACGAGGTGCGTGGCAAACGGAGTGGAGTTTTCCACGGAGCTCATGACTGTCCCGAGTTAATAGCCACCTACCAGTCAATCATAAAACATCATTTCTTGTTTCTGGGTAAATTCCAAAATAAGTTACGTGTGATCCCGCTGCAATCACGTTATTACATGGATGCGCATAAAGATGAAGTGCAGGAAAGGTGGAAGGGTACGAGCAAGATGAATGCGGTAGGTAGGGCCCTCAAGGCTCACGTATGGACTGTGAGACAGGTTTCGCCCCTAATGTGATCTCACTCTAAACATCCGATGAAACTTGAGGGCCTTGCAAATGCTTGTGCATGTCATGAGAAAACAAGCGAATGTTCTCCCAACTGGTCAAACAGATCAACTAGATTTTTGGTAAAGAGGAGAACTCCATGGCTCTGGTGAACAAAATCAAATGTCAACAGTTCAAAGTATAAATAAATGCACAATCTAGATGTTTGGTGGATGTTTTCTGTAGCTTGCTATCTCACACCTCATATACTGAACGAGGGTGAGCATTTTACTACTTCAGTGTCCGCTTTGATTTGAACCAGCAACTTTTAGATAATTCTAGTGGGACATTTCCACCCCTCTTTATTTGCCCATGAAATTGTAAGGACTATTGAATTTGGTAACCAGAGATATCACATATTCTGATGTTGCATTGGAACAAGTAACCATGAGATAGCGAAGTAATTGGTTGTGCTGACTTTGAGAAAACAAGGCGTGAGACTCTTGATAGCTCCTATTTCCACAACAACACAAAGACATCATCAGCACAAGGCAGGGAACAATGTAGGATGGGGCACCCACCCATCACAGGGCCCATTCACACCCCATTCACACCTATGAGCAATTCGGCAAGTACAATTAACCTCAGCACGTCAGGGGACCAAAGTACCAGGAGGAAACCCCACGGCGACACCATGAAAACTCCACACAGGTGAAACTCTGGTGGAGACTCAGACCCTGGTCCCAGGGGTCTGAGACAAACACTGCTACCCACTGCACCAGCATGCCCCCGAGGCACTGTGATTAGACAGCCTAAACCTTGCTAACAATGCATTTAAAACTTGAAAATAAAACCTCATGCAGACAAATTCAAATTTCTACATTATCATTTTTTAATTAAATTAAATTCAATTTGTATTGTCGTTAACTCAATGAGCGGGCACATGTGTAAATGAAAAGTGAGTTGTGGCTTCATCTGTACATGCCAGGCGTAGGGGGACAGGAAAAGTGGAGGGATACGTACATTATACATAAATTATACATCCATACATACATAAATTACACATACATCACATACATTATATATAAATTATACATGCATACATAAATTACACATGCATTACATGCATTATGCATGTTATCCAGACATACATAAGTTAAATGTACAGGCTAGACACAGATATGCATATTAACATATAGATACAGATATACATATCAGCATATGTCTCCGTAGATGAGGTAGTGTCTGAGGTACTGAAATGGAGCTGAACAGTGCATGGTAAACATAACTGACATAAGTTATGACAGATGAAATAGTACAAATGGCGTGTGAGGGTTTAGCTTTTTGTGAAATGACAATGGGGGTATGAAAAAACTGCTAAAAATTGTATAAGTCATCTGCTACTTGTCGGCCATATTTGTTCTTCAAGGGCCCAGGAGGATTTTCAGTTTTATTTCTGTAGTATTTTAGCCAGTTTTCTTATTTGGATATTTGTTTGGTTTTAATCATAAGTAATAGAAATGTTTTATTTTACAGAGAAACAAATCAGTTTTAAAAGTGTTGCACTTGCAAAAAAACAAAACAACCTGCTGTCAATTCTAAAGCCACTTACACAGTTCAATGGCGACGTGCTCTCACGCCCGAAACAGTGAAATCTCGCGTGATTCGTGCACGAACTGGAGCTGAATTCAAATGATGTGAGACCGAGACCGAGCGCGGGCGAGGGTGCGCTGGACTGCTGTTGTAGAAGTAAATAGCAAGCTATCTAACTAGCCAGTGAAATTAACGAATAGTTCGCCCCGGACTCAGTATTGTTCAGGTATTATGCTGCTAGTCTTTTCAATATCTTATCGTTTGTTCTTACTAGAAAAAAGCTTGGAATCGTTAGGACATAACTTGGTTAACTAGTTAACTAACTGCTAATAGGAGGAATTGTATCAGTTTTTGTTTAGGAGCCGTCCTACTAGTTAATGTAATCATACTATATGTTAATTATTTATATTTACCCAGTTCTTTTGTAAGTCTAAGTACTCGATGTTAATAGCTTTAGTTCATTTGTTGTTGCGGATGTCTGATCCAGTGGCCAGCATACACAGGACGCTGAAGTACTCGGTCTTCTTTAAGTTAAAACAACTGTTTTTAGAATGCGCACTCACCTCGCTTACCGTGGTGAGTTCTCACGTATTCCTGTTGTCATGGGAACTCGTCCTCTTGGTGCAGCCGATCAAAGCTTGGCAAAGAAACATGCTATTTTCACCATCATCCCCCATTAGTCTGCCCGCTGGAATATTTACTTGTTGCATGTCTTCCATTTTGGCCCGTAGAATTGAATGAATTCGCGTTATTGAAGAGTTTTAAGAATTTTTTTTTTTACAGCTTGTCAAATGCGTTTTAGTGTGTCTTATGCTACATGTTCTAACCAAAGTGTTGCAAGACCATCTTTACATTGTTAAACTCTGTGTATACTCTGGAAATGATTGGTTACAATTAGTCATTGCTGGGATCCAGCTTCTACAGTCTGTAATAGGTTTGATTATGCTATGCAGTTATTTGCAGCCTTGATGCTTCCTGGCCACTTTATATATGTCCCCCGGTCTTTGAATTTTTATATACCGTAAACAGTAGGCTATTTGGTCCTAGCTGGAGGATGTACATGTTAGAGTAAACTGAAATATTGCAGCATTCTTCATCAGAGATGGCAGAGACACAGAAGTTGTGGTTTTTCCTTGTTTTTTGTTGTCCTAGGCATTAGCGTAACAGCGTGTTAGGTGGGTGCACGCTGTCAGGAGGTTCTGAAAGCCAAAGTCACTACTTCTTTCAGGCATCAAGATGTCTGGAGACAGTGAGGTCCAGCGGCTGCGATGCAAGTTGAAGGAAGCTGAGGAATCTCTACAGAAAGCGGCCCAGTACGGTCTCCAGCTGCTGGATGGGCAGCTGGACCTGCAGAACCAGCTGGAGGAGCAGCGTGTGGAGATGACTAATACCTTAGAGGTGAGCAGTGGGCCATTGTCATCTGCTTGGTGAATATGTCTGGCCCATGCTCTATATTAAGAGCTGTTGCTAGGTGCCCTTTCAGTTCTTTTGAGGATGGAAGTGGGATGTAATCCAGGCTCCTGGAAGCCAGCAGCAAACATGAACACTGTGTGACTTGCGTTTCCACCAATGTAGGCCCTGGAGCAGGAGAAGTACTCCCTGCAGAGGGAGGTGGAGCTGAAGAGTCGCATGATGGACAGTCTGAGGTCCGAGCTTGAGGCACTCAGGGGTCAGCAGAGGCTCATGTTGGAGAAGCAGGAGGCTCAGTTGGAAAGGGGCTACACCTTAGAGCTCAGCGAACTGAAGAGCAAGGTCAGGAAGCTGGCCGACATCTTGTTCAGAAGAACTTCCTGAATGTATTTTTATAATGAGGAGAATGTGAAAACACCCAGAGCATGTAAAATTGTGTATTGAGGGTGTATTTCTCATGGCTTGACTATTGGAGGAGGTGTTTTCTAGTCCTTCAGCTTTGTTTTTCATAAGGGGGACTGTTCTATTGGGGTAATTGACTCAGAGAAAATGAGGGGGAACAGCAGAAACAGTCATTGACTCATGTTGCAGCTTGTTGAGCATGTGTGCCTCTCACAATGAGCTCAGGTGGACAGGCTGATGGCGGAGCTGGACGAGGCGCGGCTCAGCGAGAAGCAGCTGAGACACAAGCTGGATCTGCAGGCGGAGACCCTGGCCAACAGGACGGAGGAGCTCCGCGCACTGACGGAGCGTGCCCATGAGACCATGTCGTCTGAGGTGCTGGAGCTACAGGTGGAGAGGGCGGAGCTGGTGGCCGCCAAGGTATGCAACTCATGTCACATGACTGACGTCACAGCGACGTAGGGATACCATTTACCCACATTTTTGTGTATATCGTGGTTTTGGGGCCATGGTCATAAGGTTTCTGTATCCTTATATTTAAAAAATACAAAATCACACTTTAATTAAACAATTAACATTCCCCCCCCCCCCAAATAACCATATACACTGGTCAAAAAAATTTAAGGAACACTTT